TGGGACATCAATGATCAGCTCATACCGACGTGCTCAGGAAGCTAATCATTGATGCCCCAGTAGCGATCAGCCGCGCCGCTTCAATGACCGCAATACCCCGCCCACTCTATCTCTGTTTAATGACTGATCAGGAGAATCTGTTTTCCCGCCAATCGCTCAAACGCACTGCTTGCAAGTACGCATCTGCGATCTTGTCTTCTTTTGAGAATAGAGATTACAAAAATTATCATATCTACTTACTATTTCAGTGTGTGGTCGGCTTCTTTGTGTACTTCAAGCTCTCGGCGATATTTCTTAATGTCGTTGACCCATTTGCGCCTATCGAAAATCTATTCTGCGCAGTATTTATGGGAGGAATCTGGGATGCGCTTTCCAGGTGTGAATTTGTCTCTCGTCTGTACTGGTAATCTAACGCAAATTTATCTTGCCTTTCAGAGCCCTTGCCGCTGCTCGTGAACGACGCGCAGCTGGCCATGCGACCGAAAATGGAACGATTGCGAGTGGCGAGAAGAAGGAGCAGTAAAGAACCGGAATTTTTTGGTTTTTAATCAGCACGGCGGCTGCAGAAATTTCTCTTATGAAGTTACATACGCTTTAAGCAAAAACTCTATGATCTGATCCATTTTTCCTTTCGTTTATAAGCCCTACCCGGTCACCAGCGCACTGCCATTATTAGTGCGCTCGCTAAATGCTCACAATTACAATATAGATTAGCCTTAGCAACGCTCATGAGTATTTAATGACTGCATTTTCCATTGTATCATCTGTGTATAGCTTTTAACTTTTTATGAAATGGTCATGTTTGAATATTGAACGTTTTTCTTTTTCGATAATAAATTGGACTTCAATAATGTCTAATTTGTGAGAATTGGTGTAGCTCTGAATATCTAACTAAGATCGCCAATTATCGTCCTGTTGTGCTGTCTCCAGCAGGCTAAGCGAGTCTCGTCTGCAGAGACACGGTATTCACTGGATGTTTGTTAAGTGAGGAGGATGGTCACTTTTGAGAAACAGGAAAACGTACAAAAGATGTCTTCAGCGAGACTTGATGAGATCCAGGTGAGAGATGATCAACTTGAATTTATCAAATATATAATGGATCGCTAACGGAATATAATAATTATTCTAAGTTTGTTGAATGATTCAAAGAATATAGTGTTCAGTATGTTTGTACACTTTACGAGAGCTTTGTAAGCAGTCACACAGTCTTAAACTCGGCAGATGCAGCTCAACCGTGAAGTCCCTAAAGGGGGGGGGGGATGATAGTGACAGGAAT